CTGTGAGCAGTAATACAAGCAGACATGGCAGCAGAGGAGAATCCCCTATTCTGCGGAGCTCCCTGTCTCCTTTCCTTTCCTGCCTTGGTTGTGAGYTGCCCTCTGCATGCCCACATAGACCAGCGCCTTGCTGTGCCTCCCACCCATTGCTCCTTCCCTTMCATGTATGTGTCAGTCTATTTTTACTCCTTCCCAATCTCACTGATGCTGCCAGCCCTGCCCATCTTCCTGGAACTTGGAGCTACTGCTGTTCCTATGGCCACCAGGCAGCTGGGCTCCTGTGAGCTGCGAGGCAGCTGGAAGTTGAGCTACCTCCAAGGCAGGAACTGAGGGGACTCTGGAGATTCCCAGCGTATGCCAAGCACAAGTAGTGGGTGCATCATCTGAGTTTTAGCTGGTGACATGCGGGCAATAAAGTCTCTGAGCTGCGGGCAGCTTTACCACCGTGCCTGTGTTTGACCTTGCTGTATCAAGCACCTGTGACTGCTGAGGCCACAGTGCTTTGGACAAGGAGAACGTGCTTGTACATGGCAGCATGAGTTGGGCAAGGCCTAATGCTGGTATCAAGCGCTAACTGCCTGCACAGGATAGGTCTGTGTGAGAACTCTTCTTGGGGGCCAAAAAAGTAGTTACAGTAACACCACCATCCTGACTCAGTTGCCTGTAAGCTAGAAAGCAGCAGAACTTTTTTTCTGTTTCTTACCCAATATTAGGATTTTCTTGCTACGAGGTAACTGCATCAGTGTTAAGTAAACAGTGGACTGGGTCTTTGAGTAGTTTGTTCTCTTTTGTGGTTTGAAACTAGCCTGTACAGAACTAGCAACAGGAATCATCTTGACAGTTCATTGCTGTTATCAGAACATCCCTTCTAGTTAGTCCTGTTATAGGGCTGTAAATGCAATAATTCTATCAATATTATGGAACAGCCATGCTGCATGTGCATTAGCATAAATGAGTGCTAATGTGCCAAGGAGCTAATCTGATATGACAGTAATTGGCTGATGCCCAGCAATGGAGGCCCTGAAGCTACGCTCGCCCTCCTCAACAACAACTGTCCCTCTGAAACACTGGAGAGAAAACAACTTGGGAGGATGTTAGTGACTCCAACCTCTTTACATCTTGTCTGCTAGTTATAAATGATGATGCTTGCAACTGCAACACTGAAATGTCTGTTTATTTTTTGGTTAGAGTGTAACTTGAATGCCTACAAAGTTAGATCTTTATAAAGAAGGGTCTCCAGAATACCTTGCAAAATGAGAGCAGGTTGGCCAGGACTCTCCAAGCACCCATCCAGTTATTAAACACAGAAAAGATGTAGTCACATCAAGTCTGTCTTCCTTTCCCTTACTTAAGTGACTACTGGCAGGTATACAACATCATCTACTCCTCAGTAATCTTGTTCTAGTAATCTCAAACAAAACCCAGCCCTTGCCTGGACCATAACCAAGTGGACGCACTCTTAAACAGGCTAGCATTTGGCATCTTCCGGTTTATAGTCACATTAGGGAGATATATATATGTATTTCCTTTTGAAAATATGGCCCTTAAAGAGAGCTAACTCTTTCAGGACAGTTCTTTCAAGCTGTTCTCTCTTGTGGGAGGAAGGCTGGTAGAGAAGACATGCTGGAAGCCCAGATACCCACTACTTAGCTCGTCAGCTCCGTAACTGTACGATGCCTTGGCTAATACAGGCTCATCCATGATGGAGCTCTATGGTTCTACATCAGCACAAATCAAACAATAATCGGAGACTTCTTTTCGTCAGCAGCTCAACAGTCTAGCAGTAAAAACCACACAGGTTTAGACATGTGCAGTAGTATCTCAAAAATCCTGATGCATCAATATCTGTCAGTGCTCAAAACTGCTACTGGAGCAGCTAGTGAATTTAAGAGACAGTGTTGGTAGAGGAACTGGGAAGGAGTACCTTAAGCACGGTATTTAGGATCTGTGTGATCCTAATTGTGGTTCTGAATTTGTCTCAAAGTTTTTTAAGGCTCCGATACGCTTTTCCATCTGTAAAACGTGATCAGTGAAACCTCCCCAGCTGAAGCAGGGCTCTGACTATTAACTGAGGTATGAAGCGCCTGGGGAGCCATGAATGGAAGCCACCTGCCCCTCAGCCCCTATGGCAAACCCTGGAAGCTCTGGAAGTTACCTGCCCCTCMGCCCTTATGGCAACATCACCAAGCAGCGCTGAGTGCTGCTAATCACAGAGCTTTCCTGAGCCACAATGAGCTCAGAAACGGAGGTAGTCCCAAAGCACGCAACCAACAGCGTTTTGCTGCAGTGTGAGGAAAAACGGTAGAAGCTCAGAGAAGCCCCAGGGAATCCTGTGGTGCTCTGCGCTGTTCTCAGAAACCCGGTAACACGTCCACCTCCGCGCACCCAACCCCGTGCCCTTGCCAGCAAACCTGACTGCGCACTGGGGAGAAACACAGCTCAGGGCTGAGATCCGGGCAGCGACTCACGCTGAGGAAGCCAGTCCAGGGGTGACGTCTTCGCATCCTGCTGGGGTGCTTGGGCCCCCTGCGCCGCGATTTTGGGCTGCTCATGCACACTGCATCCCTGCTTGCTTAGGACAAAAGCGGCACCCACGGAAGGCGCTCGACCTCGCCAAGGCGTCTGTCCCTAAAGTTGCCTCCGAGGCTGCTGAATACCGCCCGCGGGGGGGGGGAAAGGAACGGGAAAAGGAAAGGGAAGCACCGGGCGGGCTCGCCGCAGGGTGGAGGCGCCTCGCTGGGAGCTGGGAGCTGTTAGGGCTGTTACGACCGTTAGGRCCGTTAGCCGGCCGAGGTGTGAGAGGGGGCTCGGCAGCGCATCCCCCGCTCGCAGCGATCCCCGCGTCGGGTGCTGAAGCGACCGTTTCATTTCTTTTCTTTTTTAATTAAAACATAAAATATTTTGTTTTCAGCTGTGCGAAAACGTAAAACATTTTACGTTTTAATAATAATAATAAAAAGCAGCACCTGCTCCCGCCGCCGCGGGGAGGGGAGGCGCGCGGCAGGCAGGGCGGCCGCCGCCGCGCAGCCATTTGCCTTTGTTGCAGCGCGGCGGCCGCAAGGTGCAACGCGAGGCGCCTCCCGCCGCGCCGTTACCTGCGGAGCCGCCGAGCTGGGCGCCGCGTCGCCCGCCGCCTGCGTCGCTCATGGCCCCGCGGCCGTCGCGCGGCGCGGAGGCACCGGCCGCCGCCCCCGCCAGGCCCCGGCTTAGCCCGTCGCCACGGCAACGGCGGGCGGCTCGCGAGTAACGGCCGCCGCGCAACGGCCGCCGCGCAACGGCCGCGGGGCGGGGCGGGGGGAGGGGTCTCGGCCGCGGCGGAGCGTTTTTCGGATAGTTTTTAGTTCCCTCTCACATTCCCTGGGATCCTCCATTTTGCATATCCACTTTTTTTCATAGGTATCATTATCATATCAGGTGCGTTGGAAGTCCTTATAAGATCTAATCACCCCTTGCAGGTTCTTTTGTTTTAAATACTATGCGAGCGTGGCTTTGCAAGATTAATTTTGATTATTATCTCTCTGTATCKACCTGTAAGATCTTCACACTCCTTTACACATGACAAGTAGGCTTGCTCCAGCCAGTGGACCTCCTCAAAGCTAAAGGGATGGTAAAACCTGCCCCTTTTACCCYTTTCAAGAGCATGGAACTCAACTGCATTGTGCTCTGCATTTGCATCTCTCTACATSATTAATTTTAGGGAAAACAGTGCCAGACCAAACTCCTTTCCCTTTTAGACAGTAAGAACCCAGCAGACTTAGTAATTAGCATATAATAGCAGAGGGAGCTGGGGCTTCTTCTCTGTCTTGTATATGTGTATGTCCACCTTGCTCCAAGCAAGCAGGTTCTGTATTAGTTGGTACCATGTGTTCAGTGAAGTTTCCTGAYCGGAATTTCTCATTTTTATGGGTTTTAGTAAATGATCCAGCATGGGTAAAGAAATTGTTTCCCTTTAATGATGTAATCAGAAAAAGCAGAACTAAATATTTCAGATAGAAATAGTGTGGCGGCCTGGAGCTCCTTCTGTCTGTTCAACATTTGATTATACAGATGTCTTTCCTTTTTAATATAAAGGGATTTCAGTAACATTGCRCTCCTACAGCATCCTCCACTGAAGACTGACTCTTAACACAAATTACAAATAGCAACACACAAAACCTCCTCACTTAGCTGCACTTTAAAGAGGAAAAGACGGAGGCAGGGAAAGAATTTCCTCAAGGTCACGGAGGAATTCTCTGGCATAGCTAGGAAAAGGTTGCCAGAGTGGCAAGGTCTCAATCTTGGCTGTCACTTGCCCTGAAGCAGGGAGCCAGCCCTGCATTTGGGGAGGGGACATGGCAGGCACCTGTCCTTTGGTCTCCTTGGTGAACCTGGGCCTGTGCATCGGTCACTTGCTAAACGATCTCTTTATTAAGAGTTTTTCAGCGTAGTCAAGGATGCCTGGAGGGTGACTCGATGTTACTGTGCCCCTATGAGCAGTAGTAAGGAGAACTTGGAGACCTATTGCAATGATCTTTACAGCTCCCCATGCAAAGAGCTCATTATTTACCAGCTGTGTTGCTGCCTTTTCTTACATACACCGTTTTATAAACAGCCCCGATTCCACTACATGGGAAWTACATGGGAAGAGCCTTTGTTTTTCCCTTGTGCTCAATGTACATGGTATTTGGAGAGCTGACAGATAAAATAACAAGTGTCCATGTTTCCTGCTTCCCCAAGCTCAGTGCTCCAGTTGCAGTTCATCTGAAAGGCCATGAACCCCCTTGGATCTGACAGCCTCAGGCTCATGCCTGCATCTCTGCTGGAGATGAGTATCCCGTTGTTCACAAAGTCCAATTACGGCTAAAGCTGGGAAAAAGAACSATCTGTTTGTGTAAACAGATACTGCCAGAGGAAGCAGAGGACAGTGCTTTGCCTCCTGCTCTGAAAGGGCTATGATTTTTTTGGATGCATTTGCTGCCMTCTTCCTGCTTCATGACTCCCTGGTGACACCTGCACAGTGCAGCAATCATTGTTCCTTCTTCATCCATCAGAGGATTCTTTATCCATCAGAAGATGTTGTATTCCAGATTGTTGTTGCTGTAGGTGTAGCAATAATGGTCCTGCATCACTTTACTTAAGGGAGGGAAGAAACAAAACCACATGACAAATTGGTCCAATTTATAATGGCAAGAGAAACCTGCAATTCAGCGAAATCGCCCCCACAGGCCAGCTTAGGCTTCGTCAATATTTAATGAACGACCTGAATGCAGCTGCCTTGGCTGCTCCAGCCTCACCCCTGTCCCTCTCACCTCAGACAGAGCCTCAGCAGGACGTGAGGAGAGGGAAGGGGCCATGGTGCTCAGGGATCTCTACACGTAGGTGGCTGGTCCAAAGCTGCCCCGAGACTGGCATCTGACAGCTCCTTCCAGCTCTGTGTAACATACTCAACCACATTTATCTAGACTGCAGATAAACAACTTGGAACTTGAATTCCTCCAGCAAGGCAGCACCTTCCATCAGACTGTTGTTTGCTTAAAAAAAAAAAAAAAAAAAAAAAGTAGAAAATTGCATATTGCAAAGGGGAAGTTCATTATCCACTCCAACCACAGTGAGTGGCAGAGTGGCCATAAGTGCGATAAATGTCTTTTTGGTAGGATGCTTCTACAATTCACCTGGTATTTGACACTCGCCATCCGGGACTCATCTCCTTACAAAAAATACATTAAGCAAAGCATCTTTGCAGACATCSCTCTGTGCTAAAGAGCAGTGATAACGAGGGTGATTAGGAAGAAGCAGGCAGCACAGCGCAGGCTGTTCCCCAAACCCTCTGCGGCTGCAAAGCAGGGGGCATGATGTACACAACGTGTGCAAAGCACCAGTGTTTGGGAGCAAACAGCTGGTTTGCTGCAGTTCACCCCAGGTCCAGCACTAGAGCTCCCTAACGGCTGCAACTGCAGCTGCCGCAGCGTGCRGCGATTCCCCCGCCTCTGGGGACTGTAGGGCTGCCTTATTATGGCCAAAAACTAATAGCAGCTCTATGCTGAGCAACATGTAATTCAACAAATGTGCAAACGCACTGGCAAATGCTTAATGGATTGTTCTACCACTTAGCTGTCCCAGGAATGGGACCCAGAGCCAGGTCAGTGCCTTCCACATCCCAGCTCCCATTACAAAATTTAACCCAGAGCATGGCCACTCCTCTTGGCAGCTGTCCAGTTATTAACTTTAATGTATTGGCTGCATCTGAATGGCCTTGGGCTGCTGCCCACTATTTATTTGTTTTCCATTCATCTCTGCTAAAATTAAATCTCAGAACCTTCAAAAGAGGATGAAAAACAAACACTGAGCTAGCACTGCTGCCCACATACAATTGGCAAGAATCACTGCGGTTTTTATTTCCTCTGCAGYGAGGCAAGATCTAACATCCAAGACKCCYASAGTMTCTCACCTAATAAATACCTTTATTAGTAGTGCAGGCACCTCCACCACTAGCTCTGGCCTTGGCAGCTCTGTAAGCAGCAGCCTTTGGCCCTTCTATTGGGCCACAGTAACTGTGGARGCCCCATGCTGAGGGATTTGCTGGATTCCTGTCCGTGACAGTGCCTGCATAGGTCAGGAAGTCTAAGCTGATGATCCAGGTGGTCCTGTGTAAGATTTGGGCTGTATCTGTATTACAAGGCCCCGTACTAGCTGTTTAAAGTGCATTTTATTAAAAGAAASATACAAATCCAAGAATACCTTTCTTCTTCCTCTGGCTTGTGAGAATTATRTGATTCAGCTTCCTTAAACTGAACAGGACCTTTGTCCACTGAAAAGCAGGAYTGTGATTTCCTTTTCTTTAAAAACAGCCTTTTTTTCCCCTTTCAAAAATTTAAGTGCTCTTTAACAGCATGAAGGGTCCTGATCAAAAGCCAAATTGCTCTCTAAGCACCTGCATAGGCTTCCAACAGCTCTAACATGTTCTGCAGTGCCTGCTTCCTTCTCATTGCTGCATAGCTCACAGAGATCACAGGTTTGTTTTGCCTTCTTCTAGTAGTAATTCAAAATAGTTTTCATTTGTTTTTAATCAAGAGGCTGGTAGAGATTCCTAAGGCCAAGCTGTGCCAATGCCTGAATGCAGTTAGCTGCAGTGCAGGGCTCTGTAAGCATCTAGCCTAGCCTGGACTTGCTTTGTTCCTTTTTATGTCTTGGTTTGTTCTGTGAATGYAAAGTCAAAGATTTTACACTTACAATGACGCAATTTCTGAAATACTTTCATTTACAACCACAATACTTCAATCTACTGCAAAGTGGATAAGGATTTACTGTAGATGCACAGGAAGGCAGGTGGCAGGTTACAGAAGAGATTCTTAATAAGCTCAATAAAGCATACAGAAATAAACCTTTAGTCTTCTTCAGTGCTTTGTCTTAGCATCCAAGTGCTTTCCTTCCTTAAAAACATGTGCAACTCAATGCACAATGTAAGGAGTGAGGCTGGATGAGTATGGAACAGGTTCTCCTGCTTGTTTATGCAAAGGATTTCCTTCCACCCATATACAGAGTTCCCAGTTCTGCAGTCAGGGCTTCATCAGGAATGACATCACCCTCCACAAATTCATCTCCAAGCTTCTTCCACCATGGCCACCGGGTGTATTTCAACATAGTGATGTGCGACTGTTTGGCCTTGGCAGCTACAGGGCCTGACCTGCTCATGAAGATGCTGAGATCTTTTTCTGTGCTCTCTCCAAGCCCTGGAGCATCTGTAACCACAAGGAGAAAAGTTTTTAATGKTTAGTTTCTTATGCTGAAGTTTATGAATGCTTTAAATCAAGCAGCAGCAGCCCTACCCGCCCCCTCTCTCCTGGGTCACTCCTTTCCCTGTGCTGACATTAGTATATTATGGATATGTGCTAAAACAGGTAGGAGAAGCCATCCAAATTAAGACTAAGAAAAATAAAAAAGCAGAAAGGCAGAAGGATGAGGAAAGCAGGACTGCCTCGCTTGTGGGCAGCACTTGCAATCACCAAAATAGATGGCTTGTAAAGCTGTGATCCAGGAGGCAGAGGAGCTGCTGTTAGTCACTCTTGGTGCAGGGTGACATCATTGTAGTGTTTCCTGGTGCAGTGTCACTGCGTCATCCCTGCTTGGGGCTCCACTGCCCCAGGAGGCCGCGCTGCTGCTGCGTCTGCTCAGGGAGTGATGGGCTGCAGCGATGCAGCGCATGACAGAGCTGAGCAATGGAATTCTGTAACTTGCTGATTTTTCTCCTGCTTGGGTGCTCTCTGGTGGCTGCAGTTTGCTATTCTGCTCTTTCACTGCAGGCTACTTTCTTTCACTTGTCTGTAATTAAGGTGGTACAACAGTGAATTTCTCTACAAATACAGCCAGATCAGTGAAAATGAAGATCTGACTCCGATTGCATAGCTCGGATTTTCCTCTTCAACCAGAGAAGGTGAAAATATATCAACCACCTATTTACTTACAAAACAAGAAAAAAAGAAAAAGACAAAACAAATATAGTGTAAGGGGTTGTGTAAGATCATCTTCTTGGAGACTTTAATTACAGGATCGTTGCTTTTGTTGCAAACATATCAGAGAGATGCTTCCAACAGAAGAACAAAATATAACTTGAGAAGCAAGCGTATATACACATGATCTACAGTAATAAATGAGTAATCTCTAATAAAGAGATTTGTATCTCAAGAAATGGCATATGGCAAAGGAAGAAAAACCTTTCAGTTTTGAAATAAAATTTTACACTGTTCACAGTATGACCCTGTAATTTTCCCACTAAACAGTTTAATCCAAATGGTAAGTGTAAGCAAAACTATGACTCTAGAGTAATCACGTACTCATTAGCAGCTCCACATCAGTGTTGACCTGAGCCAGTAACGTCTCTCTCCGCTGTGCTGCTCTCCGATCCAGACTGCTCCTCAGCAGGAACTGAGCCAGCTTTTCCTGAGCCTGCACATGTAATTCTTTACTCATTTCTTCTGACATTTGAGAAGCCTGGAGGAAAGTAACAGTTCTTCACCATTAAGAAGTGGTTACTTTAAAGCTTTTGTGGGTAAATATCTAAATAAGAAATGCAAATGCTGTTCTTAATTGTTAACTTAATCATTTGTTCCCTGTGGAGCTCCTTCCAAAGCTATCCATCATCAAGTATATATAATTTTCCAATTACAGTTTGTTTTCACCAGTTTTATTAGATTAATGGTTAAATCCCCCAGTATCCTAGTACCTTGCTCTGGAACAAGCAAGATTAATATATGCATACCTCACACAGATTATCTTGATCAGAATTTATGAAGCTGAATATATTTCATCTCTACAGTGTGTTATGTTGCATGAATAATAGGAATAATGAAACGACTAAGAAACAGACCGGATGCAATTTGATGTAGTCATCCACCTTCTGCTTTAAAGCTAGTCTCTGCTCATCAGCCAGTCCTTTGGTGTCTTTCCAAGGAGAGAGCGCTCTTTTTTTCCTTCGTTTTTCTATGAATTTACAAGCCTTTAAAAAGAACAAATGAGAATATGATAATCACCCATAAGAAATTCTGGTTCCTCATTTTGTTYGTAATCAGGCAGTTAAAGAAAAAAAATCCTAGCACTGCACCTGCTAAAGCACAGCTTTATCTATAATATGGAAGAGGCTAGATAGAGGCAAAAGCATGATAGTCTGCAAGAATACTAAGTAATGAGCTAGAATACTAATATTCACAGAACTACAGAGGAGCTGAGGGTGAAAGAGACCTCTGGAGATGACTAGTTCAACGCCCCTACTCCTGCAGGATCTGCTAGGTCATGTCTCTCCCATCTTTTTTTTTTTTTAATTTTTTTTTTTTTTTAATCTCAAAGGATAGAGGAGCCTTCAGAACCTCTCTGAGCAGTATGTTCTAGTGCTTAATGACCCTCACAGTAATAAATTACTAGTTTACCTGAGGTCTGTAAAAAAATAAAAATCCAGCCTTTGGTTTCATACTGGCCGCTTCTATATTTTAGTTACAAGATTGTATGATACTTTGCGACTAATCTAAGATACTTGGGGCTCTTGGTCTATCTTCTGAACATTTTTTGCATAAATTATTCCTAAATTGCCATTAAGCAAAGTAAGCAATTGGTGCTTTTTGGAAATACTGTAATAATTCACTCAGTCCAATCTATTGCCAGAACAAAATTTATACACTTACTGCTCTCTGAATGGTGACAGCTGCTTTATATTCCTTAAGAGATTGCTTCTGTTGATGAAAATATCTTCTCGCTCTGTACCCTCGCCAGAATCTCTGGATAGTTAATGCTGATTTTTCCTCCATTTCCTGAATGTGCTTATCCATCTGACCTGAAAACATGACAAAAATCCAGAGTGGACGGTGATCTCTTAACAATTTACATCTTGACTCCTTCTACTAGCCCCTACCAGAAAGTTTGGGTGCTATCAGCTAAAAAAATCCATCTCCATTCTAAATAAAAGGCAAAGAACTGGTCGTGGGCCATTTCTGGARAGGAACTGGAGCCACACTGGAGCATTACAAGCACAGAAAACTGGATGTCTCTTTCCCCCGTGCTGTTTTTGAAGACAGCAAGTCTCATGCCATGTCTTTGACCCAGTTACTGCTCCCTTGAAGAATTAGCATGTTCTCCATCAGATAACTGGGGCAGAAGATACAGGAAGACTATAGAGCAAACATACATATAAGATTAGGAAATATATTTGGGGAAATGTTCATAAGGAGACACAGACAATTTAACCTTCTGATATAGTTTAACATAAATCATACTGGCATGGATTATCTCCAGCAAGGCCAGCTGTCGTTCATGGAAGTGTCTCATGGCCCTCTGTCTCTGCAGTTGCATTTCCTGTTTTAGAGCCTCATCTTCTTTCTGTTTTTTTAAATGTTGCAGCTCCTGTTTTCGTTTAGCTCTGCAATACACAAATAAATTAAGAATTTAGCTTAAATTTTGCTCCTTTTTAAAAGTATCTCACTTTACATCGAATGSACCAGCAGTACAGTTACCACAAAGTTCCTGCAGGATCTCTCCAAGCAAGTAGAGATCACCAGCAAGCTAAAACAATGTCCACACCATTTATAAACATGTGAACTTCTGAACTAGCTGCTCAATTTGGCATCAAATAAAAAGATAAATTAGGATAAAGTTGTAAGGATGGGGCATTCTCAGCCAGCATGAGCTGCATCAACATGCGTTTCACCTGCCTTCCCCAGCACATACTAATACTTTTGTACAGACCACAGAACTACATCCAAATGCTTTGATAGCTTCTCTTCTATCAGAAGAGACTAATTTACTATCTTGGGATATTGGGACCCCAGCTGGGCCCAGAGCTGTAAATTCTGCTCTCTAGCAGTTTTCTATGGACAATAAAAGGAGCTTCCTAAGCATTGGCAAAGGGGAATAAACGGACACAGCACAGCTCTAAGGGGTGGCAGGAAGGAAAACAGGGAAAAAAAATGCATTAAACTAGTAATAACATCCAGTAATTTTGATGATATTACATGCCCTTTACCTCTCGACTCACAGTTATCTGAGTTGTCCGTGTATTTTCCATCACTAGTATAAATTAGCTGTATCTTTCCCATCAACCATAGTTTTCCCTCAGTCTTTGCAGCTCAGTGGGGAAGAGGAAACAGAAGCTGTTTTATAAATGACATGCTCTGGATTTGAAGATGTGGCCCTAAGTAGTTAACAGCCTTCACCACAGTTTAATAGACCCTAATCCTTTTATGACAGTAATACAGACTTGAAGCATGCCCACACATCGACCTACAGACATAGATCATGATAGATGTGATTACATTTGAATGGTCCTAAGGAAACTAGAGGTTTTCAGCCCACACAATTGAGCAAATCATAGCTATAAATCTTTGAATTTTTAATCCAGACACCTATTATACTTCTAAGCAGAACAATGTCACAGGATCAAACAGGACTTAAAAYGACTTTTTCTTAATAAAACTATTAATACTTTTCCTCAGAAGTCTTTAGAAGCTCCATTAGGTGGAAAGCAATATTTGGTGGACTTTTCATATGTGCATCTGTTAAGCTACCAAAAACATCTGTTGGTATTTAAAAGTTTCTTTGATATCAATTATCTCCAGTGCAGTCTGTAAAATACACACTCGTTTCATTCTCCATTCCTCTTCATGATAAGCCATATTCGTTTGTTTGCACAAGGCCACACTGTGGCAGGGAAATGTCTCTGATCAGAAGTAAAACATACTAGGATGAGATTCAAGCTTCCTTCAGCAATTCATAGCACAGATCAACCTTCCTCTGATTATCTACTTACATATTTAAAACAGTTTAACTTTTGAGGCACACATGACTAATTAGACCTATTGACATTTTAACAGTTCTGTAATTACTTCAAATCCTTGAATGAATTTTAGGGAGAGATAACAAGCTCTAATATTCACCAAGTGGAGATTTCTAAAACCACAGAGTTTCAGAAGTGTTTATCTTGTAGCTTAAGAACCTCCATGGCAGCTGCAGGTGAGCTAAGTTTTGTGTTTCATCCTCAGCAGCATTTAACCATACTTGCTTTAAAACAGATCCCCACCACAGAGCTCCATAACTATAGCCTAATTTTGACTGCTAAGAATTCAAAGGTTCTCTGGAAAACTCGTCTAAAGCTGTGCTTACATCGATCCAAACACTGAATTTATTTTTCAGCATAATGGTCTAACTGCAGGCAGGAATTGGACAGGACAAAACCCTCGGCATTTTACAGTTGTTGAACAGTACTCTGTACATTGAGACTGACTAAGCCACGAACAGGCAGCTTAAAAAAAATGAAAGGAATGGAAATATGTTAACATTTTTAAAGTCATCACACACACCAAGCCTATTTAATGATTCAGGAACTACTTAAGAGACAAGCACTGAAGTCTGCAAAACTGAAAAGGAGACACAAGAAATTTAAGCAGCTAGTTCACTGCTGACAACCCCACCCCGTTTCCTTTCCTTTCCTTTCCTTTTTAAGACATTATATCCCACCCATACTGCAAGTCTTCTGGGCTATTATTCTGGCTTGCAGACTCGCCAGATGCCTTATGGGGGCAGAAATATTAACCCAGAGAAAGAACAGGGTGGAATAGGAAGGAGTCATAAGGATAGCGATGATCAAGGCAGCACAAAAACCAAAGTGACACGTCCTACTGCTTCCTCCTGCAAGTCTTCCAGAACCTAAAGATTACTCCTATGTAGTCAAATAACCTTTTAATGCCAGTCTAGACAACAAATCAAACTGTCTGCTCTCTAACAGCATGATCAGCATACAAATCATTTAGCCAAATCATGCTGTATGATTTAGTTTAGACTGGACACTGTTTAGTATGTGCAAAAAGGGTGGAATAAAAACTTATTGCAGAGTCTGAGCTTTACTTAAATTCTTTTACATATATGAAAAGAGCACACTAAATGTCTCAAAAGAGAACACTGTCTCAAAAGACTTAGGAAAGAGACATGTGCTACCATTTCTGCCAAAGTCCTACAAGATTAGGCAAGATGAGCATTTCTATGCAGCTTTATCCTTCCGCAGTGCTGCAAGCCAGACGATATTATTTCTCGCTGAAGTGACTAAGACTTACTCAAGATTTCAAGCATCAATGCAGCACACTGTCCTGATGGACTACAGTACTTCAGTACTTTCTTTAGCACTCTGCCATGACCACAGGACAGCTCCACATTTAATTTATGGTGGAATTTTATAACAAGCTAACTGTGAACATGAGTTCTGCCACCATTATCTCCTAGTGTTCTTTAGTGTGATTCAATGCTATACTGTCCCACAATATAGTTTCCTATATGATTTTTTTTTAAACAAAAAAAAAAAAAGAAAAGCAACACACCTAATGCACATAAAAGCATTACACAAGTAAGTTATTCTATGGAGCAGAGGAAGTTTGGCAGCTAGGAAAAGGACAGTTGGAGCTTTTGGCATCAGAGTACCAGTTTGGTATTGCTGGAAAAGCACACTGTCTGCCTGCTTCTGCAAAAAGAATCTGCAGTGAAACAGCTCATATTGACATTACAACACTTGCATGTTTCAAAAATAACAGCTGTCTGGAAAAAAAGAGGCATCTTCAAGACAGAGAACCTGTTGGTCAGCCCAACCTCATTTCCTGGGAGATGAGAATAAGTCCTCTTGGGAAAGCATTTCCAAGCACATGGAGAACAGGGAAGAGAATGGGAGCAGTCAGCACAGATGTATCCCAGGCAGACTGTGCTTGCCCAGACTGCCTGCTGTGATGAGATGACATCTCATTTCCCATCTGCRGCCAGAGGGAGCACTGGATGTCATTTACCTTGACTTTAGCAAGGCTGCCAGAGTCCCCTGCAGACTGGAGGGTGGGGCTGACACTCAGATAAACCTCAAACGAAAAATGGGTCAACAGAAACCACAGAAGCTCAAACAGAAAGTCCTGCACCTGGGACAGAACAACGCCATGAATCAGGACAGGTTGGRCACAGATTACCTAGGCGGCAGCTCCACTGAAAAAGACATCTACAAGGTTCTTGTAGATGGCAAGTTGAACATGAACCAGCAGCAGGTCCCTATGAAAACAAATGTAGCTGCAGTGAGCTGCACTAGTAGAAGTGAAAGCAGCAGGGCAAACGAAATCATTATTTCCTTTTACTCATCACTCATGAGGGCACAGCTTGAATATTGCCCATTTTGGGGCTTCCCAGTACAAGACAAATATTGACAAACTGCAGCCTGATCTAACTCAGAGGCCAGCCCACCTTTGAGCAGGAGGTTGGATCAAATGACCTCTTAAGATTTTCCTGTGAYTCTGTTACCAGAGGAAAACCAAGGTAAACCTTCTTATTGGATTTTCTCCTGCATACTTTTTACGAAGCAACGTTGTTTACCTGAAGCTCCTTTGTAAAGCAGTCACTGCTTGAGGTAGTTTTTTCAGTCTTTTCCTTGTCTGAAATCCCTTCCATGTAGCCTGGATTAAACAAGCTGCTTGATGCTGCCTCTGAAATGAATAAAGCAGGATTTTTTAAAAATTCATTGATAGAGTGAACAAATAAGGCAAGTTTTGAAAATGTGAGACAAARTGATAAAATAAATCCATTATAAACATATATAAATCACATATAACTAGAATTTCACCCAGAAAAAGCTTCAATAAAATTCAGCACCTGCATTTCTTCTTTTCTATCAGATTGTTCCAAGTACAGCAAGTCCAAAAGTTGACTGAGATCTCTGTCAAATCCTTTGCCAGTCCACTGCTTGCTTAGAAGCAGCTTTAGTCCTAGAAAACAGAAGGATTTGGGGGGGGGGGGGGGGGGGGGAGGGGAAGGGAGGGGGCACACAAGCATACAACACTGAGAAGTTGATCTTTTCTTTTCAAGATTTCAAATTAACATTTGTCAAGCCAAAATAACCATCTGATTCCTTGTGTAAAGGAGCGCTAGGCTGAGGACTGCCTCTGCCATTGCTTAGGGACTGTTTATTGCCCTTGTCCCCCAAGTCCAAGGCTTCTCACAAGTAGCTCTGACCATCAATGATAATCAGAATATAAAAGCACTAGCAAACATTAGAACTTTTTCCTGGTCTCTATGGACATGGGGGCAGACGTCCAGCACCCAGCTCTCCCTGGAGCAGCACAGGTACCTGCTACCCAAGCTCCATCAGTATTCAAACCTTCCAGGAAAGGATACAYCCTACATCACATGGAAAGATGTGAAGCAGATTGAAAGTGACAAAGAGGAACTAAACCAGGTAAAGTTACCTCCCTGTAAAGAAAAAACAGGAAGCAAAAATAGGGACAGCATCTTAAACTGTAATGAAAATGAACAAAGTTGAACAGGGCAGGGATCAAGCAGAACTGCAAGTTCCTTCTGTATTGGAGAGCTCTGAATTGAGACRACCCGGTGTATTTTTACACATAAATTACACATTTACACATAAAAGCAGAAGGAGAGAGATTAGGCCCATGCATGTTTACAAACCTTTGTAGCGAGTTGTGAGCAACTTGACAAGTTGCTGGGAAAACTTTGCAAGTAAAAGTAGCAGTTTTGTAGCCGCATTTCCTATGACAGGATTGGTGGCAGATGAAAGCTTATAAACAAGTTCATCCAAAACAGAGTGAAGAAACTTCTCATCAACACAAAGCAAGACAGGACTGGATTAAAATAAATAGAGATAGAGAGAGAAGTTATAAATGATGAGCTTTTCAACACTTCCTATTAGAAATGTCAGACACTGAGCAATTAGCTGCATCAGTGAGCAACCCAGGATGGAAAGAAAAGGATGTGAACAGTTTTGTGTGTATGAGWTGATATTCTCATGTTAATTCCAATTAAAATCAGAAAACCAATGTTACCAACTCATTCATGACTGCCAGTGACTCAGGGACTGAGGCAGTACTAGCACTCAAACGATTCCCATTGCTTCAATTTAATAATGRGATAAAGACAATAGCAAATTTTTCTTTTCTACAACACAGACTGTAGAAATGATMACAATTTTTACATTCAAAATTATTCTATTTTACAAAATGGTAATAAAATGATTTTTAAAATTCATAAAGAAAACAAGAATATAAAAGCAACTAACCTATTGACCTTCAAAATATTGTGTAAAACAGACATCATTATCATTGCTGTTTCAATGTCATCTGTTATTAACAACTGTAGGAAATGATCATTTTGCAAGACTGCAACACAAGAAAAATAAACAAAAAGTCAAACAATCTGAACCACTGAAGTAATGATCTTTATCTGTTTTTATAGCAGTTTTATGGAACCCAGTTTCTGCATACACACAGACTGAAGAGATGAACTGTATTTTAACAGAAAACAAACCAACCAACAGATTTTTTTGAAGACAGAGAATTACAGAGGGAAATTACAGTAAAATACATTAGGATATTGTTCGTCTCCAAAAGACTAAAAGGGTAACTCTGTAATATCTTTATCTTTAGTGGATCTTTTCCATTTTAGCTATTGTTGCTTCTGTTGAATAATGAACAATTCAAAGGGATTGTTCTAAGAGCATTCCAATTAAATAGAAGAGAGATGGAAATTGGCTTAAGACCTATTCTTCACAATTGTAGATATAGTAAATCAACTTTGGGGTGTTTTAYGAGTTTAATTTTCTCTTACCACACTCTGTTAGTTGAATATGCCCACCAAACAGCCAGCAGATGGCATCAGTTACTGTATGGAAACAGTGTAAAAAACCTTTTTTTTCTTCATCCTGAACAACAACAGAAAAAGAAGTAAATGTATGTCTACCTTGAGGACTATAGCTGATGTAGCAGGAAAATCTGTGTTTCTGGAATGAAAGTCAAGAAAAGAACCTGTAAATCATTCCAGCCCAAAGATCAATCAACAAAGTACACAAACAAAGCAGCCACTCTTGAAAATATCATAATAGGGATGAAAAAAAACTTGCTTACTCCTACAAAAACACTTGATAGCACAAGGGAGGTAAGTTATATCATAAATTAAACCTAAAAGATGGGAAATAAGCTACTTTAAGATTAAAGCACAAAATCAAATCATGGAAAGTAGCCAAAGATACAGTTCAAATGCAAAATGTTGCTAAGGGCAGGCACAGTGAGGCTTCAGATTCAGTTCTGTATTGTAGTTCTGGGAGTAAAACTCAAATCACTATTAAGCTAGAGCTTAATATATGAAACAGATTGTATATTCATTTGCTTGTGATAACACTTGACCAGATACAATGACCAGGAAGAATTCATGTTTTAATACATGAACATACGTATATGGAGAGTCAAAAATCTGTTCTCCAAGAGCAATTTACAGGCCACTGGAAACCTAAAGCCTTAGTGTGTGGGCAGGTAAGAGTCTTTTGATAGTTCAAACCTGCTGACAAATGCTATTATACAGCACTCAGACATCTTCCTCATTAAGTGAGCTCCCACAAATAAAACACTGGAGAGGCTAGTCCTATATCTGAGCTATAAGTCCAAACCATCTGTCATGGTTTTGCACTATATTTGGTTCCTTCTGACAACGATACACAAACAAAACAAAAMMAAMAAAAAAAAACCACTGTACTAAGTTAAGACATAATATTATCTCTTCTGTGTTTTGGCAATATATTAGTTTCTGGTAGCTATTTCAGTACTTCCCTTGACATCAAGGGCTTGTACAGAAATCAAGTGAGGCAGTGAGACAGATGTCTCCTGGTAGAGTGGGATTTCCAGAGCTCCATGAAATAAGCATCAAGTCTGGGTGCCCACTCACCCCTAAGACCACAAATTTTAAAAGCCAGAGCACTGACTATAACTCAGACTGCATTTGCATTCAAAAGTAATTGTTGGCCACAAGCATAACTTAAATAGCACGTAGGCTGAAATATGTAATAAGAAAATGTGGGGGAAATTACGTATTGTGGTAAGAATTGAGTCTCCTGGGATGTCTTCCAGGAAGTTTGCTTCTTAAGCAGTACATATACATGCATTTTAAAGGTATTGAACTAACAGAAAGTATGCTATTTTCGTGGTTTTTTTTTCTGAAAAGTGGTGATACATGTAGCACCCAGGATTTTATCCTGTAGAAAAATTTTGACTAAATGTAATAAGTCAGTGCAACAAAAAAAAAAGGAGACATTAAGGGGAAAATAAAGAGAAAAAGGAAATTAAATGAATTTTTCAGAATCTGTGAGGCAGTTATGGAAATTATTCTAAAATGTCTTTGTTGATTCTCTAACTCTGAATGCTTCAAAAGCACGAGGAAATTCAGCTGGACAAAACTTCGTTTCTCTTCAAAGAAGGGTTGAGTTGTGAGAAATTACTCATATCTACTAATTCACAAAGTGTCTCTTGGGGATTCCAGATGCACCAATGCAGAATCAGAAATTTAAAATTCGCTGCAGAAATTATACGGCAAAACTGATTTCAATATTTCCAACTTAGGATTTGCTACCATAAGATATCCCAAATCTTACTTTTTTTTTTTTTTTTAAATGAATAAAGCAGTAAAAACAGAGCAGCTGCAAAGACTGAAGTAATTACATGCAAATCAAAAACAAACAAAATCTACAAAACCTACAAAGATTGAGAGGCTCCCTTTTTTAAGGCATTTTTCTTCTAGCAATTCTCCTAGCAGCCTTTTTAAGAAACAACCTGCAAGTAGTAGCTAAACAATTCTAAACGACTGTATAGTAATAAACTATTTTTTGCACACATAATAGAACAAATGCTCCAAGACAACAGATTTCAATTTCTATGCTCCAAGACATAAGGAAAAAAATTGTAATTTCTGGAAAATATAATTTCATAATACAGTGTATCTAGAATAATATCCTACTTACAGAATAGAAGAGCTTGGAAAGTTTGCAGAGGTGCTCTACTTTTTTTAAGCTATAAAATTTAAATACCTTGATTGCTCGGATGAATCGTGCTTGCAGTCGTCTTCCCAAAAACAACAAGTTGTCTATGGCTGAAGGAAGAAATTTCTTGTAAAATTCCTCAGGATCTTCTTTCACCTCTAGTCCCACACAACAATGACTGAAATGGGGGGGGGGGGGGGGGGGGGAAGAGAGAGAAGAGAGAGAGAGAGAGATAGGAAAAAAGCTCAACACGGGTACAAGGCAACCTGAATAGTTCAGGACCTCCTGTTTGAACAGCTTTGAATTAAAGTCATGTCATCAGAGGGGAAATGCTTGACTGGAACGGGACAATTCAGCATTGAACCACAGTTAACTGCTGTGACTGTCTCCAAACCAGCTGCCTCAGAAGGAAGAGCAATCACGTGGAGGCTGGAGACTGCAAGCACCTTGTTACTAATTACAAAGTAATAGTTACTACAGCATGTATTGGTTTAAAACATAGACAAGTCACTTTCCCTTCCATCTCCATAGGATCCATTCAGGTCTGTTTCACATGAGAGCTTAGGGCTCTGAYGGTCATTAGGAGGAAAAAAAGCAAAACAGGAAGGTAGACATAAAGCTGATAAAGTGGATGCAGAGCAGGCAACAAAAATATGCACAAGAAAAAAATCCAGTTGTTTTGTCTGTAACTTTCCTCTACTTGAGGAGTGCATGTGTGCTAGAAAAGAGTTCCTCAGATCTGAGTTTTACAATTTTACATGGTCATTTCTGGAAGACCRTTCATAAGAAATGGCTCTGTAAGTTTCACAACAGGAAGATTTTTCATTCTATACTCTGCACTGAAACYAGCGCAACAAAAGTTTTCAAAGCTATTTATGAATTCTGTTTTCTGACATGTTATCTGAGCTTTCTTAGCTTGCTGTGAATGTGTACATGCAAAGCTCTGCTTACTAAAGCCCTCGGAAAGCAAAGTCCAGGCATGAAGCTGAGATTTGTGTAGTTGCAAAAGGACATTTTCACAACTAAAATTTCATTTTTCTCTGGAAGTTGAAATAACTTAGATGATTTAAGTATCAAATAGCTCTGGCAGTAAATCTCATATCTCTTAGTTAAATTTCTAACAGTACGAATTCATATTGTTGCTATGATATACAWAAAAGATGGCTAATTTTGTCATGTCTTAGAGTGTTGCTCTCAAGTTAACCCAAAATCAGATACAACTTGGGAAAAGCCTAGAARTTAATTCCGTTTCCTGACATTGAAAACCAAGATTAGATCATTGGATTTCAGTTTACTGTTGTCTTATTTGCTAGCTGTGAATGAAACTAAATTATGATCTTATTAAACCACTACATCAAGCTATCTGTTCTGCATTAATTGTATCTTCTATTGTTTTTGAATTTTAAATGGATATATTGACTCAAGCCAAGCTGTTAGTTATCCAGCTGAAGATTTTCACAAATGAATTTTAAATTAAAAAAAAATTGCCATTCAAAATTTTCAATTAATTGACAAGAACTGTGACATAGATGAGTACTGCTTACAAGAATAAAGTGACCCCAACACATAATCTGCTCCCACCAGTTTGCCCAGCTCAAGGAAACACAATGCAAATGAATTAAACAGGACTGATCAGGCTATACCTGACCCCTCTGCTCTTGACTGCTCGCTGCACTTTAACCCTGGCCTTTCCTGAACAACAACCCTCATTCTGCATGGGAGCCACTGCACTGCAGCTCAAAAWGAGAAAGAGGAAAGACCAGAAGGAAACAAGAAGAAAACTTCTGGGCAGTTTTTCTTACCTTAGTATCTCTGCTAGCCGGGCAGCCGTGGCCCAGCCTCCAGGCAGCCGAGAGTAGTCTTGTCTCAGGACCAGCACACAGTACTGCGTAAGATCATAGTAGTGTATTTCTTGCCTAATTTTTTTTGATTCTTTAGATCCCGAGGAAGCACTATTTAAAATTTCTGTGGGGAAAAAAAAGCAAGAAAAAAAGTTAAAAGGAGCATATGATTCTGATCCAAAGGAACGATTGTTTTTTAGAAAACATAAAATGTGTGAAAATGATGAAATGTGTACAAACACTAAGATCAGTGTAATTCTCAAAGTGGTAACACTGAACATTTTRTCAGCACTCCTACAGCTACAAGTACTTGTTAGATTGCATGACCATTAGAAAGGACACTTGAGCTTAGATTTCTATTTTTTTTCCAACATATTCAATATATTTTTTCAATATATTCAAGTAGTAAAGCATGCATTATCTGGGATGTATTCCATCTGTAAGAATGTCCTAGGCCAAATAAAACTACAYTGAAAAGCCAGGTGAAACATATAAGCTCCTTATAATTATATCCCAATTTAGAACAAGGCCTAATCTGTTTCCACTGTTTCCATGGGCAGCAGACRTGAGGCCAGGGGGCAGATGAGGGGTCTCACACGGGAGCTTGTGATCATTTTTCTGCACTAAGGCTTAAAAACAGGATACTACCAACCACTCTCAGCCCCTCTGGATCTCAACCCAAAGTGCTGGGTCAAGCTGTGAGATTCCTGCCAGCATTAGCACGGGTTTTACAAAAATGGTGTCAGCTGGGAGGGATGGAGGAGCTGCCCTCCATCCCCCTCCCCTCTCAACCTCCTCCTGTTCCCAAGCCCAACGTCCCCCATGTGCAACAGTCAGGAAAAGCTGCATCATCAGACCCATGGAGTTTCCAGCCCTCTGAGAACTATGGAGAAAGCAACAAATAAAACTACTGAATTTAAGGAGGCAGAATAGAAAAATAAAATAAAATAAAATAAAATTATTTTATTTTATTTTAATTTAATTTAAAATACACCTGTTCACAGTTCCCCATCTCATTTCTTTATTCTAGAAAAGCTGCCATTTACCCTTCAGCTTCAGGAGCAACACTGGGACGTCCTCATCTCTGCTCTCAGCCACCTGTCTGGCCAAGAGCAGCACCCTGGGGTCCGCGTTGGCCATAGGAGGCCGAGAGAGGCCCAGGGCCGCAGCTGCCCGGCTCCCTCCCGCTTCTTCACCGTTCCCTCCGGTGACCGGGTCCTTAACCTGCTACTTCCCTGCGACCACCCCCGTCTCGGCCTCGGGCCGCGGCTCTGCCCCGGGGGAAAGGGCTCGGGCAGGGGGGGGGCGCGGCCAGAACGCCCCGCGAGGCCGCGGGAGGGCCCGCGTCACCCGCCCCGGCCGCCAGGGGCGCCTCAGGGTCGCCCTCTCCCCCGCTCTAACGGTCGCGCGGAGCCGCCCCACTTGCGCCGCTCGAGGTGGGGGGGGAGCGCGGGAAGAGGAGCCCACGAGCGCCGCTTCTAACGAGGGGGAACCGCTTCCAACACCCCCGCCCTCTCCGCGCTGGTGGTCGCTGCCACTCTCCACCAATCAGAGCGCACCGCTGAGGAGGGCGGGCGACGTTTGCATATCCGCGTGCGAGCTCGCACCGCCCGCCGGCCCCAAGAGTGGAAGCCGCAGCGAGGCCCCACCCCCTCGGGCCAATCCGGGCCCGCGTCGCCGGTGACGCAACCCTCGCGGGGAGGGGGGGGCCGCCAGCGCCGGCCTGTGAGAGCGCGGCTGGGCGGGACCTCCGCATAGCCACGCCCCCTCCCCGGCCGGGGGCGGGGCCAGCGCGCGGCGCCGGGCGATGTTCGGCGGCGGCGGCGGCGGCTCCCGCCATGGTGTGAGGCGAGCGGCGGCGCCGCGATGAGCGGGGCGGCCCCGCCGCTCTTCGACCCCAAGGAGCGGGTGCTGAAGCTGGGCGAGAGCTTCGAGAAGCAGCCGCGCTGCGCCTTTCACACCGTGCGCTGTGAGCGGGGGGGCCGTTGGGGCCGTTGGGGCCGTTGGGGCCGTTGGGGCCGTTGGGGCCGTTGGGGCCGTTGGGGCCGTTGGGGCCGTTGGGGCGCGGGTCGGCCGAGCGCGCCCGGGGCTGAGGCTCTGGCGTTGGGTCCAGCCGGCACAGGCTAGAAGCGGCGTTCTTGACGGCGCGATCGCCGAGGTTCAGGCCGCGCGTTCCCCGCGGAGCGAGCTGTGCCCCTCGCCGGGTGCCGGGGGGTGGGAAACGCGCTCCCCGAGCGGGCAAACGGGAGCGCCCTTGGTGGCCGCTCTGCAGCCCCCCCAGGGCAGGGGCAAAAGCGGCCAGTGAACTGGAGCAAATGGGGCTCTTGAAACTTTAAGGAGGACTGAAGATCTCCCGGGGTGTCTCCTACCCTTTAGATTTCTTGCTGACTCTTGTAACTTGGTGATTTATTCTGAAACCTGTTTTGAAATCTCTCATTCAGGCCAACAAATGAGACATAGAAACTGGCACATCTGTCAGCACTATCACGGGCACATGCAAAATATCCTTTCTGACACCGGAGTTTGTGTTACAGATGAGTGGTGAGGCAGACATCTGTTGGTTAAAAATTTAGTATACAAGTGCACACATGAACACTGAGATCGGGATTTCAGTTTTCTAAAGCTTTAACCACCTGGTGGCTATATTTWACGGCAAAGATCTTTTCTAGTTTCCTATGAGAAGCTCCACAACTGTTTTATTCTCCTCCCTCTAAGATGCCGCTTGGGGTTTTGCCCTCAACACCGGCTTAGCTGGGGCTGCTGGCGGTGTCCTGAGCTCCAACGTCGCTGCTGCCTGTATGTGCCTGCCTGTGCACGGCTGCTTTTCTTGAGCAGCTCGTGTGTAAGTTGGAGCTTGCCGAGCCCCGGGCCGTGCCAACTGGCCGAAGGTTGCGAGCAGGATGGTTGAACTGGGAAGCTCCCCATCTGTAACGGAGGCCACGGGCAGTGGCACGTGGCGTGACGGGCTGCATGGCTCGAGGCGCTGCGGTGGGGACACTCTGTCTAATGGGGCCCCTTCGCATGCCTGGCCCTCTGTGTCTGTCCAGCTGCAACTGGGTGTCTTTTTGCTTAAAACTTGTTTTGAGGGATACTTTAGATGCTGGAAAAGGTAAAACGGAAAGGAATTCTTTTTTTTTTTTTTTTTTTGGTCATTTTGTTTATTGATCCAAAATAAAAATAATGCAACAGAAGTATTGGTAGGCTTCTGACATGCCCATTCTAGTAAACTGAAATGGGTGCTTTAGTCAAATATTGGGGATTCACATTGTCCTTTGCATTTACAGTTACTTTTCTATATCTCATGTGTTTGGACTGGAGTTATCAAGAGTTGCTACTTTGTTTTGTTTGGTTTTTATCCTAAAGCTCATTTTGTGAGAGTTTTTTGTCTTTATCCCTTGCAGCCTAAAAGTGCTCTTTTATTTTTTTACTGAAAGATGTTAACACTTAGACTGAATATTGACTTCGACCTTTACTGACTTGCAATCGGATCTGGGAAATGGTAGTACACTAGCCTATGCCACTAGACTATGCCTTAATAGACTTTGAATTTGCAGCTTTGTGATATTAACCCCAATATGCTTAGAAGATTCCAGGAAAGCCTGTAGATAATGCAGTTTCTTCTTTTTTAGATGACTTTAAGCCAGCATCTATTGATACATCCTGTGAAGGAGACCTTGAAGTTGGCAAAGGTGAACAGGTGACAATAACACTGCCAAATATTGAGGTGAGTTGGGTGTCTAGAAGAGCACCAGGCATAAGGAAATGACTTATTCTTATAAGTATATACAGAATACAGAAGGATATAAAGCTGTTTCAGAGCTACCTGTGTAGCCTTTAAAATATATTTTTAAAATTGCCTAAAAAGTAGATTTACAAAGGATCTAAACATTAAAGAATTGTGCTGTGACTTTAAGTGTTCCCTGTATTGGAAATATGCTGTAGCATGACCCCGACGTGTTGTGTACATAGAAAAACTTCATGTGGATGTTGGCAGTACAAGTTTCCCCTTGGTATTTACTGCTGTAGTGCAGTTCTAAAATGGGAAAGACTGGAAGGGGAAAATTTATTACCTGCCATCCTTCACTGCTCTGCTGATACTGTAACGGAAACCTCTTTTGGTGAGAGCCTCACAGTGAGCATGGAAATAAGGATTTAATCATTTTCCAACTAAGCTAAGTGAAATCATGTCCCTGTTAGTCACCAGCTACTCTTGGTCATGGTTAGCATGACCGAAATTTGAATTAACTGATGACAAATTTTTAAAGGTTGGAAATGATCGGTGGTAATGGACTTGTTATTGCTGTGATAGATTGTGTACTCTTTATAAGGAAAAGACTATTGCAGTAGCACTGATTGGACTCTTCTGATTTAACAGGGCTCAACTCCACCAGTTACTGTTTTCAAGGGTTCAAAGAAGCCTTACCTAAAAGAATGTATCTTAATTATCAACCATGACACTGGAGAATGTCGCCTAGAGAAACTTAGTAGCAACATCACTGTGAAAAAAACAAGGTGGGCGACTTGCATGAGAAAAAAATATCCTCTCCTTTTTGTGGAAATCATTTTATTGCTGAATCTAAATTGGGATTTTATTGCTGAATCTAAATTGGGATACAATTCCACTCACTTTTATCCCTAGCCCTTCTCAATGGAGTGAAAAGCCTGTAGTTTTGTTTGTTTTTCAGTGTACTAATGTAGCTTTTGAGTATTGACTAGCCTTTCTCAATACAGTGAAAAGCCTGTGGTTTTGTTTGTTTTTCAGTGTACTAATGTTGTAGCTTTTGAGTATTGGCTAGTAGAAAAAATAGGAATGGGTTTTCAAATTGAAAAAAAAAAATGCGTGTTGTTGAAGGAACTATTTTCTAATGCATTTCTAGGGGAAAAATCTGTTAAGTAGGTTGCCTACTGTCTTCTGACTTCTGTATGAGAAAATACATAAGTTTTTGAACACATTGCAGTAATACTGATGTTCAGTAATACTGAATGTTGAAAAGTCATTGGCACTGTATTAGAAAATCAAGTCTTAATGCATTCATATGTAGTTGTATGCCGGTATGAAAATGCACCTAGAAATCTAGTGAGGCGGTTTGGAAAACCATGACCAATAATTTCATAACATAAGGTACTATTTGCACCTTCTGGAATCATTTTAAAGTGCTTACTTTTTGACGCAGAGCTGAAGGAAGCAGTAAGGTCCAGTCTCGTATTGAGCAACAACAGCAACAAATGCGAAATGCAACTAAGATTCCAAACAATGTGAAAAATTCTCCACCAAAAGAAAAAATGTTTCCATCTTCTCCTATGGATGATATTGAACGAGGTAAGCAAACTCTATCATGCAAGTTCCATYGTTCACACTGTCTTATTTCTCCTGAGTTCTGTCTTCCTGAGTTTGAGTAAGAAGAGGATTTGGTTGTACTGTAGCACTGGAATCGACTTGGTCAATTCCCATTTGACATTACGCCTCACTCTTTTTCTGCACTCCACAGCTGCAACATATAGGTTACRGTGCTTTTCAGCTCAAAATACATTTTAAATTATTGGATGAGACTTATAAAACTGAGGTTCAAATGAAAGAAACGGCTAAAAGCCAGGATGAATCAACCCTCAAGCAGTGTCATATATGTATTCTTGAAAGACTGATTTAGTGAAATTCTCATATTTCATTGAGTCGGAGCTTTATTTTCCTTTAGAGAACAAGAAAAATGACAAGTGGTAATTACTTGCTGTATCAGTGCTGACAGGTGGCAGTTTCAATYGACATCTGCCTCCCAAGATATTCTGAATTCCATTAAACAGAATTCAGATGTGTCATTATGAGATTTTTTTTCCCTATTTGGTCTCTGACCAGAAGTCTTATACAAAATAAAACTGGCTGCCAACATATATCAAGTTCTTTTGTACTGCCAGTCCAGTTTTGTACGCTACTAAAGAATGCAGAATATTTAAACAGGGCTGGAAGTAACCTGTTAAGGTCATCTAGTCCATCCCTTTGTCCTAAAGTAGGATTTCTAACATGATTATTTACCTGTTCTTAAAGTCTGCTAGTTGCAGATTCTGTGTTCTCTTTGACAATCCACCCAGAGCTTTGCTSTCTTCGCAGTCAGGGTTTTTCCTAATACCTTATCTAATACCTTATGACATTAAGGCCAGTATTATTTTCATATTTATCATGCAAGTATAGAACAGGTTATTGCTTTTTTTTTTTTTTTTAAGCAGATCTTAATG